GGGGGGGGGGGGGCGCTTCTCACTTTCTGGATTTCTGGATTTTTTTTTTCAGCGAGCATTGTTTATTCTTGTACTGGGACTGACGGAGAACGAAGAGAAATGGGATTTTTTTTTGGTGTTTCCCGTTCTCTGTTAGACATGCGCTTTTTTTTTCTCTCTCTCCCTGGTTTGGTTTTACTTCATCAGCGGGGGCGTTTGAAATCTATTTATTTTTTTTCTTCCTATTGTTGGTTTTCACGTCTTCTTATTTTTCTTGCGGCATTGATCTGGGGCATATTTTTTGGGTTTTTATTTGCATTATTTCCTCTTTTTGTCGATCTTGATTATGGCTATATGTAATGCAGATATAGGGCTTGTGTCTAGCTTTTCACGTTTCATGCCTTGGTGTATCAGCATTTATTTGAAAGATCTAATCGAGGTGGAGGTGACAAGGAGTGGGGGAAACTAAGTTGTTTAGATTGTATGGAACATATATAGATATTATCGAATGCATTAGTTCCACGGACTTTCTGTTTGGCTAGATGCGTGGGTTAGCGTTGTGTTTGAGTCTGGAAAATGCTCGAGTGTTTGACTTGGAAGTTTTTCTAGTCTTTGTGTTTGCATGGAGAGATGCTATATCGTTTTCATTTCTTCTTTCTTCTGTTTCGATAGATAAGTAGGGCGTGTTAATTTCAAAATCATCCCTTGTGTCACATGATATACATGGTTCTATACAAATCAGCAACCTGCTGATTAGTAGCAAGGAGCATAGATGCAACCTCGCTATTCCTTTCTTTTGTAGATGCTCCACCCCGCAGTTCAAAACCAGCCTCTTAACCCATTGCCTTGAGGAAGTTAGCCTCCTTGATGGATGCTCTCCGCTTATTCCGCATGGCTTTTGTCAATTCGTCTCGCGCCTCTTGAGCCTGTACTGCACCGGCCAGAGTGCCGTCACCAGCGGGTAAATCAATAGTTTGTTCGTACAATGGCACCTTGGGTATCAGCATTTCGGGGTTCTCAGCCTGTTCCTTTCGGAGACGCTTCGCAGCCAGACGACGCTGTTTCTTTGATTTGGCTGTGCAATTTTAGTTAGCGAGTTATTTCTTTTCCCTATTATTGCAATTTCATGAGGGGGGACAAGAAAAACATACAGAACAAATCACCCGCGCCCTTCTCCGCCTTCTTCTCCTGCCGATCCAACAGCGTCCACAACCAAGCGGGGTATTCGTCGTCAGGCGCTGCAATTGGATCTTGTCTGTCCTTCAAGAAATTGAGGCCTTTGAGTGGCTGGCCCGCTGGTATGCTGCTCTTGACCAGGGGCGCAACCTTCTTCTTTGCTGCTTCTGCCGCCGCCGCTTTTACATCAGGACCCGGGGCTGGTGTCAATGGCTCGCTAAATGGTTGGGCGGCAGACGTCGATGTGGCCGTGGGTGGTGCGTGAGAAGATGACGAGTCGCCTTGGCGGGGTTTGGATTGCGTGGCTGTTGAACTGGAAATGGGTGTGGCATCACGGAGGGGAGATGCGGTGGTGAAGAAGCGTGGGTTCTGTGGGCGGCGCACAGAGACGGACGGTACTTGGTGGGCGCTGCGCGAGGCAGCCCGCAGGCACGATCGACATATCATTTTTCAGTTGACGAGGGGAGGCGATTTTGCGGGGGTGGGTTGGTGGATTGGGTGTTCCCAAGTGACGATAACGTTCAAAAGTTTGAGACGACAAGGGCAGGCTGCCGAGGTGTTTCGCCGATGCCGGTTGGGGTTAGGCGATGAGATCCTACGTTAAATCAACATCCCGTCGCGCTAGAGACGCCATGTCGATGATCGTCTACATCCGCTCCGACTTGCTTTCTTAACAGATCGTGTTAAGATTTACGTGTACATGCACATGCGCCGGCCTGACAGGTTTGGATAGGCAGGTGTCGGACATGGCCTAGCACCTTCCCAATTGGAAAATTCCCCGTGAGCCACCCCGTCCCTCCATCGAGGACTCGGCAGGTGAGATGCATACGCAAGCATGATCTGCACGGTAGAGACACAAGCCCAAGACTGGCCAACTGCCGAGTCACCAATGCACCATCATACAGTTATCATGTGAAGAATAGGTTGTGAATGACCGTTGAGTGTCTGGCATGGAAATGTGTTTCTTTCAATCTGGGATATGTACGTCTGACACATAGACACAGTGTAACCACTGTACACAACATGGCCAAAAAAACAAACGATTGCGCCTGCGGTAAACCGCCTTTCCGGGTGACATCGTACAAGAGAGAACAAACGTAAGACATCGTTAAAGACAGTGCGGGGTAGTGCCCCAAACCTGGGACTGGGATTCCAGAAATGCCTGTTGCCCTTCCTTGGACCCAGACCAGCAGGTAAAGCAAAAAATATATAGAACAGGAGAAACTAAGATTAGACAAATGAGTGTGCGGGGGTTAGGCCGGAAAATCCGCTAATATGTACAGACAAAATGAGACCGTGAGTGTCTAAGGTATCAAGCAACAGGCAACAGAGGCGATCGGAGTGACGCGGGGGTGTAGGAAAGTGGAGAGTTGACGGCAGTGGTCTCAGATCCAGGCCATGGCAGGAGCTTGGTGTGGCATGCCAAACCGTTGGCTGAACAGTGGACGAATCTCGGCAAGATAGTCGGCAGCACAGTAAGCGGCCAGATTCCTAGACAGCATAGCGGAATGATCCGCTTCGGCCTCGGCATCGCGGACAACGCCACCAAACTCCTCGACGACCTCGTTGAGCTGCTCGAGTTCGCGGCCAAAGGGGTGGCTCTCTTCTTCAATCGTGGCCTTGAACATGTCGAGTGACGATCGCTGTTCGCGCGAGCTACGCACGGAGCCCACGCTTCCACGTGAGCTGATGCTACCCCGCGTGGCTACATTCTGGAGAGATCGCTTGTGAGCGAGTCGTTCATGGGCACGCTTGCTGTGGGAGAGGGCCCTCGCCGGGATAGTCGGAACTGGCTCGATGATTTCCTCCTTGACCTGCTTGAGACTGGTGGTTGAAGCAGACTTCCTCAGTGGTTTGCCACCAGACGGGAAACCACCGGCATAGTTTGGAACTGGCGAGATAGGCGAGAGATCCACAGACGAAGCATCCGTCAAGGTAGTGTCTCTGGATGCATGCGAAGAAGCACGGGAGCGTGTGGATACGCTGTGGTCCGAGTCGTCTGCCGAGGAAGATTGGGTTAGAGAGGCCATGGAGGACACGTTCTTGAGGCTTGAGATGTCGGGTGCGTTGTACGAAAGCATGTTGGTAGTCGACACGAGAGCAATAGGAAGGGAGATTTTGGCACGGTCGATGGAGGAGCCGTTCTTGACACTCTGGCTGCGAGTTGGGCGAGTGGGCGAAGTGGGTTCCTTGGGGTCCTCTGTTCGCTTCATGCGCTTCGTCATTGCGCGTGCAAGAGACATATTGATGAATTAATTCTCAAGAAGGGCGATAGTGCCTGATAAGTGTTTAGCGGTCGGAGGCAGGGCCGGTAATTCTAGCAGTGACGGTCGTTGGTCGCTCTAGGAATGCGGCGGCGCAGATAAGCGGGGTACTGCCGAAGATAAATTGCGCGTTTTGCTGGCACGAGGTGCAAGCAGTCGAGGACTAGTGTTCCACTAATGCAACGGTTGCAGTATTCTGGAAGACACCAAGGCAGCGAGGTGCGGTGCAACAGTGGTGAGGGTGGAGTTGGCCTGGTGGTACGGAGGTCACAAGGGGTGGTGGTTTGATGGTCCGGTGCCCTTTGTTTGCAGTAGAGTCGATACCCCGCGTTGGAAAGTCGATGTGTGTTGTTTGCTAGTGATGTCCTTGACGACTAGTGTTTTTTTTTCAAAACTTTTCTGGTTCTTTGGGGGGAAATTGCTGGGCTCGCAGCGGGTGGGGAAGAAAGTAGTCAAAAGGGTGAATGGGCAGTGGATGGGGGGTGGCGAAGGGGAACAAGGACCGTCTGTCAAAGAGCGTGGGGGGAAGGGTAGGGATGGTAAGGAGCGAACACCGGGCTGCGCAAAGGAATGGTTCTGCTGGGCGCGTAAGGCACAAAAAGGGAGGAGAGAAAGGCAGCGAAGAAGGGCGCGTGATGCAGCGATAGCAACAACGACGGGGCAGGCTTCTTGAAAAGACCAGACGAAGGGCAGCGAGCAGGGAGGACGGGCTGGGCATTTTTGCATTTGCGCTGTCTCCGAAAGATTGGTAGCATGCACTGCCCTGGACCCTGCACTGGCGGCCCGTGCGTTTCGAGCCCTGCGCCAATCAGAGGGCGTCGCTTGGTGCTCAGCGTCTCAGGTTAAGCCGGCTCTTTTCTCCTGTTTGCTTGTTCAACCCTTCCACGCCGTCCGGTTGGGGCCTTGAGAGGACTCGCTGTTTCAATGCAGCCCAGGAACACTCCCCTCCTGCTCCACTCGAGCCCGCCCGCCGCCCCATTGTGCGTGTAGCTCCAGCCAGAATGGCATTGACAGCTGAAATGAAGCTCCGAAAGCGTCGTCAATACTTACTCACTGCCGCCCACCCTACGCCGCTCGCTTTTATCCGCGAATCGCTGTTGGCCACAATCCCACTTTGCCTCAACACGCAATTTGTCTATTCCCATGCCGTCACCCTCCAAACTCTAATTACTCTCCGCTGTGCCCACACCGGACGCGCAACCGCACACTGTTTCTGCTGACTGCCTACTCTAGACCTAAAGCATCTACTTGCATACTCTACACTTAATATTCACGTCGGCACACGCACATGTTTGAGCGCGCGCGTA